GGTGGCGGTGGGGGTGGTGGTGGCGCGGGCTGCGGCGGCGGCGGGGTGGTGGTGGCGGCGGCGGCGGCGGCGGTGGTGGTGGTGGTAGCGGCGGCGGCGGTGGTGCTGGTGCAGTAGCAGCCGCAGCAGCAGCAGCAGTAACAGTAGTAGCAGCAGTAGCAGTAGCAGCAGTAGCAGTAGCAGCAGCAGTAGTTGACATAAGGCTTATAAGGTATGCACGAAGCATGAGAACTCCACGAAGCAGTCCGTGCTGTACCTACCTTTTCTTGCAAGGCATCTTGTCGTCCTCCGTATGGGTAGTGGTACCAAGACCTCGCTCGACGAACGACCCTGGTCTTCTCTTTCCTCTTCATATTGTGGTTGTCAAAATTATGGTCCCTTTTTGGGTACCCTCAACGTTAGGTGCCGTGTTATAATAGGGATCCAAAAACGGACCATAATTTTGACAACCACCCATATACTTTGAAGCTAGCCACCTTTTTGGCCTTCGGCAGCGCTGACCGGCACTGGCAATCTTGTGAAGATTTCCCACACCACGACGCTGTCGAGTACAATTGGTGATTAGCGAATATGGGGGGGGGGGTTATTTGCACGGGCACCACATTGGGGGGAGCACCCCATTATGACATGTATCATCAAGAAAACATGTATTACTGAGAAAGTCTGCACCCTGCACACCAATATACACCAACGGAAAGCGTTTACGAGGGCCGCTGAGAATCAAATTACGGTCCCTTTTTTCCTCCTTCTTCCGCTTGTAGCGGTTACTAGACCCTACACTCCTAGTCTGTATGATGACATCTGCATCCTACACTTGACATGAAAAGCAAGTTGCTGACCTTGTGCCCTGCTCCACCAGCTTCCATCGTCCCAGTCACCTCGCCATGTTGCACTGCTGCGAAGGAAGTTAAACCTACATCTAGTTACCATCAGATGGATATATGGGGTATAATGGGGTTCTGTACACTGGGAAAGCAGAGCTTTCACAAGTAAGCTAGACAGTCAACGGCTTCAGATGTTGGGCTATGACAGATATCTTCAGATCCTAACACAAGAGACTCCGCGTCTGGCAGTTTCACTAATCTCGCACCATAAGCTCTAAACCCCAAAACCCTGAAACCAAAAACTCTGAACCCTGATCTCCCAACCCCCAAACCACCCTCAACCCTGGCACCCCCTACTTCAGTAAAAGAATTACGTACACATACTGATAACACTAGTGGCAACAGCAATAATCGTAATACTAACAAGAATGGGAGGGTAAGAAAACGGGTCATCATAACCCTAATGATTCAAATGACAGTACTAACACTGGTATTAAGCATGGTTATCAACCCCAAGCTCTACACCCTAAACCCTCAACTCTAAATCCTAAAGCCGAAAACCTAAACCCTAAACCCCTATAATCCTAAACCCTAAACCCTAAATAATAATGATACTGCGCCTACGCGCACGGCGTGTTGTTTTCCATTGCATAGAAAGACCGTTGGGAGCGCATGGCAAGCCTAAAAAAATAATAATGATAGCCGTAACTTCGCCAGGGGCGCCAGCGCCCCGGCATCACCAGGTGGCCAGGTTCCGCCTGTGCCGGGCTCCTTCAGCCGCTCCACAGCCTCTGCCACCTAGGAATTTAGGGGTTAGGAGTTTAGGGCTTCAGGGTTTAGGGGTTCAGGGCCAGGGTTTAGGGGTTTAGGGTTTGGGGGTTTAGGGGTTTGGGGGTTAGGGGTTTATAGGGCTTAGGCCTTTAGAGTTTAGAGGTTTCGGAGATCAGGATTTCAGGCTTAGGGGAAGGGGTTGAAGACTAGCGCTCCGCGTCATGAAGGTCGCGTAACGAGGCTTCGGGTTTAGGACCGCGGGCATTTACTCGGTATTCATGAGGACAGGCGTCTTGGGGCTGGACCATGAGGGATGTCCCCAAGCACAGGAGAACACTTTAAACTCCAGCCCTGCGCACCTGCAGAATCAGGACGAAGTCCTGAGTGGTTTTGGCGAATGGTTAAGGTGCCAGGGTAGAGGAAATACCCCAAAACCACAAAACCCTAAACCATATGGGCTGGGAATAGGGCGCGAGGTTCAGGGAGCAAGCTGTCCCAGGTAGATCTGCCCTTGCAAACTTAGAGACTTAGAGTCTTTGGGGATTTAAGGTTTAGGGTTTAGGGGTCTAGGGTCTAGGCATTTAGGGTTTAGGGTTATAGACCAAGTACTCAATACTCATTTACTTCTCAAAACGTGTACTACACTTACTAGCCCCCAAAAACCCGAGTAGCCACCAATCATTGGGCGCATAGACCCTTAGAATTTTGGCAGACCGTATTGAGAAAATGGGCAACAAGCTCGGTATCTCTGCATGGGGTTCAAGAGAACGACGAGGACAGCGTAACCCATGATACTGAGCTATGTATCTAGGGTTGAAACCACGGGCCCCTAATATGGGCCCTTAACCCTGGGATCCTCATATGCGTATTGTATACCCCATATGTACCCTTAAGGGTCCCCAGAATCCATCTAAAAAGCCTAAAGGCCCATATTGCGGGCCCAGACTTGAAAACCTTAGAATGTAACGTTGTGTAAGAAATATCAGAGTTCATAGAATCCCTTCATACGAATATTAAACACCACCCCCTCACCCCTGATATTAACTATGTCTCCTAAAATATATACATATATATATATAGCCACTTATGGGGGAATATTTGCTATTAGGGGTGGGGGGGGGTGCTAGGAACCCAGAATTAGGGCTCGCTCCATCCTATCCTTGCATCACACCCATCAAGAACTAGCATGAATGGGTTTAGAGTTTAGGGTTTTAATGGCCTTAAAACTTGAGCTCGTCAAACCTAAAATCCTAAAGCCTGAACTGAACCGTAAACCCCGGATGCTTAACTCTGAATTTTGGAAACCACGGATCATTATACTCTCCTTTATCCCCCCACATATATATATACTCTATCACATCATGTAGAAAATAACCCTGAACCCTGAATCCTCTAAAGCCTAGACCCTTCGTAGCCTCGCCGATGGCGCGAGACCGGGATACCAAGGTCAAACCTGGGTCGCAGCCGCGATTCTCACAATGGGCCGTCTTGCTGGAAAACCTGCTTCTTTCTGCTTGTAGCATGGGTTCAAGGTCTAGGGTTTAGGCCTCAGGGTTTTGGGTTAAGGCTTAGGGTTTTAGGATTAGGGCTTAAGGTCCCTTACAGACCTGAGGCCTTTCAAAAGCATCCTCATTTTTACAACCGCCCGCTTGTCTTAGCCCACATTACTCTAGGAATAAAAAAGGATGCTTTATACCTAAATATAAGGAATCCCATACCCCAAAAAGTATAAAGGATCCCTAACATTGATCCAGTTGTATTGCTTATCCCAAAGACAAACTATGTCTCACATCGTGAGGGAGAAAAAGACACCGGTCCAAATTTGGGTGCTCTGGTCTCATGTGGGCGTCCCTCAACATAGTGGGCCTTTAGGGATACGGGAGTTTCCCGAAGTTAGGGCTACCTTTATGGGGGATCCCCATAATAAGGATTATAGCCTATATAGCATTTTGGAGCCTATATTGTGACCCCATTATTAGAGAAACTACCATCTATGCGGCTTACAATCAGGATTACTGGGATGCCCGAGTCGTCGATACAGGCTCCAAATACAACACGTTCAAATCCTAGCCCGGACCTAAAAGCCCTAAACCCTAAACCCTCCTGACCTAAAGCCCTTTCGGTACGTTCCCAATAACAATTCGGGTTAGGAGTGAGCTCGTTTGAGCTGGTTATGATTTATTTGCTCACATCCCTAGGGCTGGGATTTTAGAGGGTTTGCGGAGTTACGGTTAGGGACTGCTGTAAAGTGTAGCAAAGCCACAAGCAATCATCCTCCCTGCAGGCTCCAAACAGGTTCCGAAACTATAACTCGATATTCCAGGGTCATCCCAAGTGCTAGAAGTTTGCGAAATATGTCCCCTCAAGTCCTGGTATCCCCCTTTAATAACCCTCATACTAGGAACCCAATATAATCCCCTATATACCTCAGTTTCGACCCTAAACCCTAAACCCATAACCCTAAATCCTTCAACCCTATGTAATCCACTACATACCCCCCTTTAAATAGTTTAGACTATAGCTCCCATGACCCAAGTTTGAGCCGGGGACTTGTCTGCGTGCCAAGTCTACTCCTTGAAGCCCTAAGACCTCAGCGCCCCGAACTTTAGAGTTTAGGGTTTAGGGGCCCTGAAGTCCACAACCCTCAAAACCTAGTTCCACCACCAGACGATTACAGAGTTTACAACCTGAATCCATATCAAGCCCCCAAACCCTAAGCCCCACCCTGAAACCCTACACTTGAAATCCGCGACCGTACAACCCTGATCTTATCTATTCGCGATCAGAAGACACCGCCCTGGTGGGCGCGGTGGCCGTTGCCAGGCGTCATCGCCATAAAGGTGGACCTGTACCAGCTGTTGCTCAGGATTCAAGGGTTAAGGATTTAGATGAAAGGTTTACGGCATTGCCCTCAGGTCCCCAATCTTCGCCCTTGGTCTTGAGGTCCGCATGCACCTCGTCTATACCTTTTTTGTGCCCCTGGAGGCACCTAGACAGCGCATCCTCCAAAGGACTCGCAAGATAAAGGAAAGGGGGTGTGAATGAGTGGAATGTAAAGACCGAGGTAAGAGGTCTAGAGACTTATGTAAGGTCGTGGTAACTTCCCCCTGAAATTATCTAGGCAGGAGACGAAAGGAAGTATGAACGTGGGCGCCCAAGTGGGTCTACAGGCAGTATTTCAGGGATCCACTCCCCAAGTCCCCCGAAACCCTAGACCCTAAACCTTACCCTGAAAAACCAATAGGTGAAATGACGCGCTTCAATTTGGGGGGCTTAGGGTTTCAGGGCGTAGGGCTGATGGTTCCGGCCATGGGATGGCAGTCAGTTTAGGGTTCAGGTCTTAGGGTTCAGGGTGTAAGGCTTTATTCCACCCCAGCGGCTTTTTTTTTGCCTGGCTCATGAGGTTTAGGGTTTCAGGTTCGTTTGTTGACATCTAGTCTGCAAAATCGGGACTAACAAATCATAAACAGGACTTGGAGCCATGACTTGCTTGTGGCTTAGATGTTTCCATCCAAGGTTCAGGGTTTAGGGCTCGGCACTTGGGGTTTGGAATATCCCCCGAGACCCCAATCCCCATCAACTTCCTCATTGCGGTGACTACTGTCCCTTCCATCACAGCATACGACTCCTCATGACTGCACTCAACACATTGCGTATGGAACCGCGGTGTTCTCATATACTCTGAAAACTGAACCGGCGCCCCAGTCCTACACTATGTTCCTCAACAATCATCCCTGACGGCTGGCCCTGAAACCTCAACGGCGTCTTGTTGCTGTGGGGTTTTCTCAAAACAGGTGGGCACTTGTGTACTTCAAAGATATGTAAATATACATATCTATATGCTCACACCCCCCCTATGATCCACCGAAGAGGCCTTTTCTTGGTGAAAATCGTATCTCAGTTTGGGAATCCTGGAGTCGTGGATTGCTGGTTTTGGATGTGATCCTGGTTCAGAAAATCACTTATTAAATTCAATTAGATTTAATACGAAAGTCGTGGAAACCTAGATTCTTGGCTGTTCTGGTCTACATAACTCCCTTATATAAAATCAATTAGATTCAATACAGAAATCCTGAAATGAATATATGAATATTGGAATCCTGGAGTCCTGGACTACTGATTTTGGATGTCGTCCTTGTTCATATACATCCCTTATCAAATTCACTTAGATCTAATACGAAAATCATGGAATCCTAGATTCCTGGTTTTGGAATGGACTTAGAAGGTAGAATCGCAAGTCGCAAATCGCTAGCGATTCGGGGCCGCAGTGCCAAATCGCTTTTTATTGGTCCTAAACCAAGGCCCAACCCGCAAATCGCATGATTCGGGTTTTCATGCCTTGTTACACACACGAATCGCTGTCTAATGCCAAAGGCGGCCAAGGTTACTTCTTAGTGCTTCCCCACGTCTTGTTTTCAGCACTTGCAAATCCTCTTTGCTGCGCTCTTGCCGGATGCCCACGGCTGTTTGGAGGCAATACACCGGTCTGCAATGAGGGACAGGTTCCAGAAGCAGCCCTGGCACACCCTTTTAAACACTCAAAACTTATCATCCCCCCGCACACCTTTGGTGTTTGAGAAATGCGTTTTTGGGACGTCCCAAAACGCATCTCCCAACTTCCTTTTGTCTGACACACCTTGCCTAGGTAAATTTCGGGAAGCTGCTCATGAGCCTGAAGCACTCGGAGGCCTCGCCCCGCTGCCAAATCGCTCGGAAGCAAGTCAAAAATCACAGGACAAATGTCCTGGCAAGCAGAAGTGTGCATTTCCCGCCTGAAGCTTTTACCAATAAGAGGACCCATTAGCAAGTTATAAGGGACCCAGTAGGCACCAACAAGGACCCATTAGGTTGCAATAAAGAGACCCATTAGGAAGCTATAAGGGACCCAGTAGGCACCAACAAGGGGACCCATTAGGGGGCGAACCAATAAGGTGACTCACTAGGAAGCTGTAAGGGACTTAGTAGGCACCTACAGGGGACCCATTGGTGGGCAAGAAGGCCCCCGTATCACACCTTTGGTGCTTGAGAAATGCTTTTTTGGTACACTCCAAAACGCATTTCCAAACTTCCTCTTATCTGAGACACCTATGCGTTTTTGGGACGCCCCGAAACGCATCTCCCGGGGACCCATTAGGGGGCAATAAGGAGAGCCATTAAGAAGCCACAGTAGGCACCAACAAGGGGATTCATTAGGGGGCAATGAGGAGACCCATAAGGAAGCTATACGGGACCCAGTAGGCACCAACAAGGGGACCCATTAGCGGGCAATAAGGAGACCCATTAGGAAACTACAAGGGGAGTAGGGACTCACTTGAAACCAATAAGGCGACTCATTAGGAAGCTAGAAGGGACCCAGTAAGAGACCCAGTAGACACCAAGAAGGGGACCCATTAGGGGGCAATAAGAATAGCCATTAGGAAGCTATAAGGGGAGTAGGACGCATTTGAAACCAATAAAGGGACCCATTAGGAGGCTATAAGGGATCCAGTAGGCACCAGCAAGGACCCATTAGGTTGCAATAAGGAGACCCATTAGGAAGCTATGAGGGGGGGTAGGGACCCATTTGAAACCAATAGAGGGACCCATTAGGAGTTATAGGGGACCCAGTAGGCACCAACAAGGACCCATGTTTTTCGTCCAGCGGCCTTGCGAGCAGAGTGCTGCAACAATGCAGGCATTGCTGCCAGCAGACCTCTGTTCCCTTGAGATCTGCCCAAAAGTGAGCTTCACTTGGCACCCTTGCCCTTTTCAGAATAATAGACAGACCTTTTACCTATATCCCCTAATAAAAGCCCCTGAAGGGAAATAAAGTAGGTCACTGTATTTTTTGGGGGAAAGCCATTAAACAGGACAAGGGCGTCACTTGGAGCTTTCCCTGTCACGGAGCTCGCGCAAGCGCTTTGAACTTCGGGAGCCGTGCTCGCCAAAGCGCTGGATCAACTCGGCTTGCGATTTCCCAGGCAATGGCCCAACTTGCTCAGGGCTTTTGCGCTTCACTCTGACGCGCAACCCTGCGGCCGGATTCGCCGGAACCACTGTTTCAGGAGGCAAGACATCCCCCATTTTCACAGCATCAAGGCGGATGGGCAACTGAATCTCGCTCGGTAGTACGGTCACACGCTTTGCGTGTGCCGCACACAGACCTGCCTTCACTAGAACCTCCACACCAAAAGTAGTTGCCGCCATCAGCAAGGCTTCGACTGCTTCGGGAGTGAAACGAAGGTCGTAACAGTCAGGCTGGATTTCCTTCACGATGTCCTTGAACAAGCGAAGCATAGGCAAAGCTTGAAACACAGGAGTTGACCAGTTCTGCTGTTGGAAAGCAATTTGCGCGGCCGTGGCTCTTGCCTTGCGAGTCATTCCGAAAAAGGAGCAGGGATTGCAGAAGTGCAAATTTGGGATTCGAGATACAGAGCAAATCTTGAACCTGAAGCCATCAATTTCCAACCCTAAACCCCCAAACACAAAACCGTGCGTTTTTAGGGCCTTCCAAAACGCATTTTTTATTGTCATACAAAAGGGCATAATGGAGTATTATGGTGGGCTTAGGGTTGACGATGCGTAGAGCCTCCAAATGCTCATTCCCCAGTAAACGTGATGGAATTCTAAGGGGGGTCGTAATGTGGGATTATGGTGGTTTAAAGACCTCCTACGCGGTACTACCAGAATTCCGAAAGTATAGGGTGATGCAGGATTCTTTTTTATCCACAATCTGAAAGGGGTTTTAAAGCACATCTTCATCCGCAAAGCAACCTGACCGCCCAGCTTCCCGGAAGCTTTCACCTGCGCCTGCTGGCCCATACGAGGTCGCCCACCCTTGCCGTTGTTGCCGTTGTACTTCAGGGCTTTGCTGCCATCTTCCGCCACAGCCTTCGTACCCGGGAACCCCGTGATGATCACTTGGAGCAGGATCCGACCGCGCAGCGATTGCGGCAGCCAAAGAGGGGGAATTAGGTTCACAAGGTCGCGGTGGGAGGCGGCTGGCATTTTGCCAAGAAGTCTTCTTCAGCAGTTGCACTTGAGCCTGAACAAAACCTTGAAAAAGCAAGGGATTACATGAGGAAACCTGCGCTTTCTGAAACAGACCCTGATTCCTGATACAACTCCTCTACAAATGGTGCTGGACAAGCCTGGAAGTGGGTCTTTTCAGAGCATCTCCCCTGTTGCAGGCATGCGCCGGACAAGAGCAAATCCCCGAAACTGCCTCATGAAAAGGCTCCATAGCCACAGCCAAGTTGGCGGAGGCTCGCAACAAACATTGTACAGCAGTGTTTGGGCATCTCCAGAACAGTCCCGATAAACAGCACAGTCAACAAAATCAATAGCCTCATTCAGATTTGGACTATCACGTTGCTAAGTTTCAAAACAGCGCGTGAATCGGACTGGTTCACCCACGTCAGAACTACTGCAGGTCCACGATCAAGCCGAAAAGCCCCAGGCCCTAGTCACCATCGGTAGAGGAAGAGCTGGAGCTGCTGGAGCTGCTAATCAAACTCATAGCATCGTCTTCAGGCCAAATGTCCTGTCCCTGGAGCCCTTCCCTGCGTGTGATCTTGGCCAAATTGACGCTGGGCAAGGAGTCGTAGGCCATGCAGCGGGAAAGGCAGGGATTCGGTTTCACCTTCAGATCGTCAATGAGCAGAGGTATGTTCATGGCAATTTGTTGAATCTCCTGTTGCGTCTCGATGCTCAACCTGTTCCGGAAGGGACTCTTAATCCGATTGGCGATTGCCCAAGCTCGCTCTGCAGCACCCTGGGATGCCACAGAAGTCCACAGATTCAACGCCACCTTTTTGAGCAGTGCACTGGGTTGCCGATGCTGCCACCAGTGGATGACGATTGAAAGAGGTGCGCTTGCGTCAGGCCACTCTCGAACTCTGCCAAACATAGCGCGGCGTTCTCGATGTTCTTGCAAATGATCACGAACTGCTGCTAAGCATTCTGCATCCATCCCATAGTACATGGGCAGCAAGGTGTGGCTTGCAGCCACAAAAGCTTCTGGCATCCAGACTGGCTCCTGCCCGCCTGCTGCAAGGCTCGCAAGATGGCGAGGATCGAATGCATCTGCTGACTTCACGAGCTCATCATTAACCATGGGCAACACGCGAGCTCAGGTGATGTGACTACTCTGCAGATCAAATCTCTGCCTCAATGCTTCCAGGAAGGCCTGGGAAACCGTTTTGGGCAAAATCCTCACATATCCAATTTGTTTTTAAGATTTGCATTGCTTGAGAAAATGCGTTTTTGGGGCCTGTGAAAACGCATTTCCCAGAATGCGCGACTAGTCCATACTTCCAAGCCCATACACACCCTAATAAATGCACCTGAACCCCCCTTGTATGTCCCTTATACTAGCAGAAGCCCCCAAGCAATCTCTCTAGCGTTTGAGAAAATGCGTTTTTTTCCGACGCAGCCGTTTTTGGGGCCTCCCAAAACGCATTGCCCGGAGATATATGAACCCCCATGTAGCCATTCCATAACTCCTATACCCCCTCCCCCCAACCCCACTATAATCCTTGCTAAAACCCTTGCGCAAGCCGACAAACCTCCGCAATGCCCCTTAAGCCTAGAATGCAAGGCAACAGAACCCCTTTTTGTAAAATTCGTTTTTAGGAGTTCCCAAAACGCATTCCCACAACGTGTGAACCGCTATGTAGCCTTTCCATATGTCTCCTATATGTCCTATATGTCCCGTATAGTGCCTCTTTAAAGCCCTTACACACCCCCGTAAGTGCATCCAAACACCTATAACCCCTCCCGTTCAAGCCCCTACACATGCTTATACGCACACACCTAGAAAGCGCGGTCTGCAGCAAAGTCACATGTCCAGGCGCTTTTTCAAAATTCCTCGCAGCTCGTCTCGGCGGGCCCCCAGCTGAGCCTCGGTCTCATCAGTGTCACGGAAATCCGCCGCCTGCAGAGCCTGAATCAGCTTCTAAAGATTGTAGCCCTCAGGAAGGCGAGCGCACGCCAAGGCCTTGGAGAGCTGCGTGATCAAAAAGAGTACCGGAAGGAAACGGCGGGTGCGAGCTTCCAGGGCATCGTTTTCGCAAGTCCGGAGCATCTTGGCAGCTTTCTGGCGCTGGCGGTCCGTGTGACCAAGGTGCTCGACTCCGTGAGCCCGGATCAGCCTGACCACTGCCACCTTATGTTGCAGCCACCGGCGGCGGCGGCGGAGCTACGGCACGGCAAGAAACGGCGGCGGCACAGAGCTCCAAGCACAAACCAAGCACAAGCGAGCAGACAAGAGAAGCACGCGGGCAATCCAAGGGCAGGGCCAAGCCAGCGCGGCGAAGGCAAAGACCAGGAACCTGAGCGACGGGGCAAAAACGAGCCCAAGCGGCTCACCACGGCAAGCCAACCCCCCAAATCAGCAACCCTCAACCCAAACCCGAAAAACCCATCAACATAGAGGACAGGGCCCTGGCGCGAAGTGCTCGATGAAGACCTGAGAGGGCAAGGGGTCAGCGGGTGGGGAAGTGCAAGGCAGAAGCAAGACAACCGCAAGCAAGTGCAACAAGCAAGCCGCAACAGACAAGTGCAGAACAGAAACCCCAAACCACAACCCCGCAACCGCCGAAAAAACCCTAAGCAAAAAAGAAGGCTCCAGGCGCGAGGAAGTCGGCGAAGAAGAGACCTGAGGCGGGCAAACAAGAAGCAAGTGCACAACAGGAGGGTTAGGGAAGCAAAGGGGAAGGGGAAGGGAAAGTGCGAAAACGAAGCAGGCATGCAGGGCACTTGATAGGCACTCCTACGGGGATCAAAGGGGTTAAGGCGGGGAAAACCAGAACAAAAACCAAAGCCGTCGACCCTGAACACCCCCAGCCCCACAACCCTGAACAGTCCCAACCTCGCAACCCTGAAGCACCCTGCGGCTCGCTTTTCGATCATGGGATGCCCCAGGTCACTCTGGCACCATCTGCACGGATGGCCGTAAACAAGGAGGGACTCTCGACTTCGATGGCCTGCACATTCCTGAGCTGCGCCTGGACTGCAGTACTATTACATCCTTCGAGCTGGCATCCCCAAGTGACCACAGAACCGTCTGCGAGGATGGCTGCAAAAGCGGAAGAGTGAGCTTGAATCTGGAGCACGTTCCTTAGCAAATGCTGTGCAGCAGTGCTGTCGCCACCAAAGTATGGGAGGCCCCACGCTACTGCGGTTCCATCATATCGGAGGGCTGCAAAAGAAGCAGCAGTGGCCTGGATGCGTTGCACATCTCTCAACAGGGGTCGCACTGCCCGGCAGTCGGCCTCGTCAGGATCGCCCCAAATAATCACAAACCCATTTGCAAGGCGGGCTGCAAAAGCCGAAGAGGTTGCCTGGATCTCCAACACATTCCGCAGATGACGCTGCACATGTCGGCTGTCTCCTCCGTGCTCTGGGGTTTTGGTGCTTTCTGTTCTGTGCTTTCTGTATTTCTTTTCTATTTTACATTTGATATACTAGGGAATTAAATAAACCAGAAGCCACTGTTCATATAAATCCCTTAATGATTTCAATTAGATCTAATACGAAAATCGTGGAGTCTTAGATTCCTGGTTTTGGAATGGATTCTGGTCCATTTGAATCCTTTTTACAATTCAATTAGGATTAATACGAAAATCCTGTAATACTGGATGCTTGTTTAAATAAAGCCTCTACATAAAACTATGTAAATTAATACTGAAGTTTTGCAATCCTTCAAGTATAGTGATCATCTTCTGAAGCCGCTTCTTTCTTGGACTGACCAAAAACTAAGGAAAACAAAAAAACAACAACAACAACAACAACAACTTTTTGGGGAACTATGGTGCCTGCTGAAAAAGTTGGTTCTTTTGGTTTTCCTAGGAAAAAGTTGGTTTTACAAAGAAAAACCAATTTTTCCTTAGGAAACAATTGGTTTTTCAAAGGCCTGAGTTCCAAAAACCAACGTTTTCCTAGTAAACAAATTGTTTGCCAGAAAAAATAAAGGCAATGCATTGCAAAAACCAACTTTTTCCTAGGAAAACGTTGGTTTTCGGAGCCAACGACTTCCAAAAACCAACTTTTTCCTTAGGAAAAGTTGGTTTTTCTTTGTAAAACCAAGTTTTTCTTAGGAAAACCAAAAACTAACTTTTTCAGCAGCTACCATAGTTCCCAAAAAAAGTTGGTATTGTTGTTTTTTTTGGCTTTGGTGCTTTCTGTTCTGTGCTTTCTGTATTTCCTTTCTATTTTACATTTCATTTACTAAGGGAATTAAATAAACCAGAAGCCACTGTTCATATAAATCCCTGAATAATTTCAATTAGATCTAATACGAAAATCGTGGAGTCTTAGATTCCTGGTTTTGGAATGGATTCTGATTTACATCAAATTCAATAAAATCGATCCGAAAAGGGGGAGTGTCCAAAATCCGATCATGCGAAAATGCTTATCTTTATCGGTATTTACAGTGTTTTCAGGGGGTCGGTGGATCATGGGGGGGGGATGTCCATATATGTATGTATAGAGGGAATACAAAGTTGCACAGGGCATTCCTGACAAGGAACCTGAACCCAGAGCCTGGATTCGATGTCCTAAGACGGCCCCCCCAAAACGGGAAAGACCTCCAGGGTCCAGATAGGGTGAGCCTAAGAGGGTTTGGGTGGGGTCATTCCCCCTTACAGTAACTGTTACCACAATGGGTTATAGGAGTTATAAGAACCATAAGGCCCCTCTAAGGACAGTTACTGGGAAGGGGAATGACCCAAGGTTTGGGGTTTAGGGTTTAAGAAGCTCCCTCAACTTGAACCCTGAGCTGTCCCGGCTTTGCATGCCAGGGCACCGCAATGCCCGGATCCACGCAGCAGCCCCAGAGAATTCGGCCCAGGGCTCCCTGCGACTGTTATTATTATTACTATTATTCTTATTATATTATTACTATTATTACTACTATTATTATTATTACTATTATTACTACTACTATTATCATTGTTATTATTGTTATTGTTATTGTTATTTCCATTCATAGCAAGCCCTTAGGCCATCCCCCCTCGCAATGGACAATTGGAACTGAACTAGAATACCCCCTAGATAAGATCACTGCAAGCACCATCACTGTGCAAAAAGGGACTACTCCCCTGCCCTAGAAATGACCCTGCCCCACCCCCCTCATAATAAATAATGCCAATAAAGTACCAGTGATACTAGGCGGCCCCACCCGCCTTATTGGGCGGGGCGGGCGCGGGTGCTTTGCGTTAGGGAGATGACTTTTAGTTCCCATGTTGTTCTCCATTCCTTTCAACACGAGAGACCTTACAACTTATCTTGCGTCCCCTTGTTTCCCCAGATTGATCCTTTCTTGTGGATCTTTTTTGGGGCGGCCCAACGGTCTACCATGATTTGTTGCATTTGGTAGTTTGACTAAATGATGGGATCCCAATAATATAGACCCCACAACGCTATAATCCTATTTATGGGGACCCCATAAAGGTACCCAAAGTTCCAGAAAGCTCCCAAACCCTAAACCCTAAACCCTAAAACCTCCTAAACCCTAAACCCTATATCTACAGGTTCCACCTGCCGGGGCTTTGAATAGGAGACCAAGGTTGGCGGGGCAAGCTTTCCCAGACCCCCTAAAGGATCCAAAAAATGGAAACCTTTAAAGGGGTTTATAGGGGTCTATATAGGGTTATATAGGGTTTAGGGTTTAGGGTGTAGGGTTTAGGAAAATGGAACCCCCTGATAATCCCCTAGTTTCCCCAATGTAGTAATGGATTCATATTGAGGGGGNNCCTTTAGGGGGTCTGGGTTGGGGATATCACGCGCTTCCTTCCAACCACCTCCAGGTCAGCATCCCATTACATGCTGAGAAGGGGACCTGGGGTCAGCCAAGAATTCCGCAAAGCCTGAAATCCTTTATACCCAGCATATGCATCATGTGAGGCACCCTACATCCCTGCTCTAGCTATCTAGGTTCCTAACTTTGTGGGTTCGCTGGGATCATCCTTAGCCTGTTTTAAGCTGAAGGCTAGACTGTGCTCCTCCCAACTTGCATCTTCTTAGCAGGGAATGAAGGAATGG